CCCGCCCTTCCGGTCGCCCCGCCCCGCTGGCTTCCGGTTCCGGGCGGCCCCGAAGGTGAGAGCGGCCATGGCGTTCTCGGCGCCGGGAGCCTACCTGACGCATCAGCAGAAGGTGCTGCGGCTTTATAAGCGGGCGCTGCGCCACCTGGAGTCGTGGTGCATCCACAGGTGGGGGCGGGGACCCAGGGCTCGGGGCGGGGATCCTGGAGGCCCCGTGGAGGCGGAGAGGCCCCGGGGACCGGGCGGCTCAAGGACTTCGGGGACGGACTCGTCCGGAGACCCGGGTTCGAATCCGGGCTCTGCCCCCCTTAGCTACGCGCCCTCGTAGAGTCGCTTAACTGGCGGGGCCTCAGTTGACTGTTTAGTCAAAGGGGTGCCAGACCCAGCGCAGAGGGTTGCACGAAGACTCGATGAAAAATAAAGGGATGCCCCTCGCTCACGGAGTAATCGCTTTCCCCACGGTCTTCTCGTTCCTAGTATTAGCGGGAATGAACGTGCACCCCTCTCTTTGGTCTGCAGAGCAGCCCCGGGGCAGGAGGTTATCTCAGCCTGCCTTTACAGACAGCGCGACAGGCCTGACTCCGGAGCACCATCTCTCCCACCCCGTCGGCTTCTCCTTCTTGGCTTCACCCAGACTTGTCGTGACCCTCACGTCTTTCCCTCTCCTGCCTTACTGTCTTTCCCCCACTACCCATCTGAGGCTCATCTTAGAACATAGTGTTCAGATATGGAGGTCTTCGTGACCTGAATGCAAGACGGGATGACAGCCCGAGATGGGTGAGGGCCAGGCTTCACTCTTCCATCAGTCCCCAAAACCTAGTTTCCAAAGAGGGGCTTCTGGGGAAAGCCTCTGGACGCTGGGAAGCTGAGCAGGCCTGGGAGAGTCGGCCTGGGGGTCCTGGAAGTCCAAAGTGCACATCTGTGATTACTAGGACCTCAGCAGCACACTTCTCCTTGGCCAGGTACCATGTTGTGGGACTGTTAGTTTCTTCCTTGAGTTTTCCAGAATTTGCAATTCAGGTTTTGTGCTGGATATCGAATCAATAGTAAATTCTTTTTTGAGCTGCAGCAGCTCATGGATTAGTGGGGAACATGGACATGTAAACAAGTAGGTAACAGAACTCTCAGTCTAGCAGAGATGAGGGAAGCTGAGCCATCAGGAATTCAGGTGTCCCGGCATAAGTGATAGGTGTTTGAGGTGATGAATATTCTAATTGCCCTGATTTGATCATTATGCATTGTATGGATGTAGCAAAATATCGTGTGCCCCATAAATAGGCAGAAGCATTATGTATCCAAACGAAAAAGGGTAAATCGACCAAAGAAGAGTTCAGGTCATACTGAACTAGAGCTGGGAATGCGAAAGTACCTGGTCCTGGAGAACATGATGCACCAGTCACGGTGACAGCGCCGGCTCGGGTTTCTCACCCCTGACCTCCTTTCTCAGTCCTTGCCTGGCTTCTTCCCCCGCTTGCCCCTAGAGTGTGCCTTTTCTCCGGTTCCCGCCTGGGCTCTGTTGCAGCATATGCTTCGGGCCGCCTTGTTTCCCACCCGGACTTGAGTTACCACCTGTGCTTCTGTCTTAGAGGGGTCGTTCCGGTTGTTGAGGTCACCTACTGTTCCCCGAAACAAAGTTTGTCTAAATTCTCCAAAACCCTACTCATTTTCTTTTCCCTCCCCATGCTGATTCTTTTCCCAGACTCCCTGCCTCAGCTAGTGGCGTTACCGGCAGTTCAGTTATTCAGCTTTAAATCTCAGAATTGTTCTCAAGTATTTGTTACTTACCCCTCTGCCAGTGGCACTCATGCTCATACACTGATGTGCAAATCTCTGTGTGTAATAATATTAGCAGACTGGGTGTGGTGGCTCATGCCTTAATCCCAGCACTTTGGGAAGCAGAGGTGAGAGGATTGTCTGAGCCTAGAGGTTCGAGGCCAGCCAGGGCAACTTGACACGACCTCATCTCTACAATAAATCAAAAAAATTAGTTGGACGTGGTGGTGTTTGCCTGTGGTTCCAGCTACTTCAAGGCTGAGGCAGAAGGATCACCTGAGCCTAGCAGGTCGAGGCTGTGGTGGCCATGAGTGTGTCACTGCACTCCAGCCTGGGCGACAGAGTGAGACTCC